ACCAGTACTGTATGTACAGCGAAACGATGTCAAACTCACCTGCGCCGACCACAAAAGCATGACTGACAGGTGTTTTCGGGATGGCAGGGGAGCGTCAAAGCTAAGGTTACATCGGCCCATTCATTTTGTATAAGGCCCTGCTTGGGTTAACACGTACAAAAGAGAAAGCAACAATTGTGTCGCAGACGTCCATTGAGCGGAGACTGACAGCGCAATTCTTTAGAGCTTCATTAGAGACGTGGCCGGTCGCCGCCGCCGCCTCATACTGAGGTGATGGATTACTTTCAGAGCCCAAGCCGCACAAGGGAAATTAGCTCGGATCAACTATGGTTTTTCCCATTAAAAAAACATATTAGCCATAATAGGCTCCTCAGTTCGTATGAATAAAGTCGAGGCCTCCTTTTTTTTTTATCCCCCTTCTCATTTTCTGTAAGTAGCCAAACCCGTTTCCGCAACGCACTTATACATTTACTTAAGATTCCAGAGAAGTGGGAGCAAGTGAGAAAGAAAAAAGAATGAAAGAAGAGGGGGAAAAAAAAAAAAGGTGAGAGCACCGCTCCTATTTATCTCCAGTCGGGAGTCTAGTAGGAAAAAATAATGGGCCTTACGTTGAATAGTAATCCTTTATTAAGGCCAGTTAAATTACGCTCTTCAGTTTAGGACGGTCGCCTTTCACCGGGCACAATTAGAAAAGAGAAAAAAGCTCGTTTGGTGTCCAGCCAAGAGGAGCGAGCATTCAATTCAGCTCCTGGATCACAAGAATTAAGACTAATGTCCAATTATACTGTCTAAAGATGATTCAGTGGAGTAAGAGAAATCTCTCTTTTTTTTTTTGAGAATGTGCATAGATCATAACCTCTGGGGATTCGTCATGCTTGTAAAACTTTATTACGATCATTCGTGGCAGGCGGAAATCAATTGTCTCCATTTTTTGGATTGTTGAGCATGTTATAGGGATGACAGTTTTGGACGTGGCGCGTCTCGCTAATGGAGACACCTGAAATAGCTGGTCAGGCAGAGATGACGAGATGTTCGTTTTAATAGGTAGTACGCTTTTTTTTTGCTCAACTCATGTGTGGAAGGTGTATTGGGGAAAGAAAACAATTAAAAAATGCATTAGGGCAGACGATTATGGCAGGTAATGATGTCAGTTAGCTTGGAAAAGTCTTGTCAGAGACGTGTTCGACTCACATTCAGATGTTTAAAATGAAAATGTTCCACAGCAGATGTGGAGCGCTGATAATGACTAATTGCTGAAAGAGAGAGAGAGAGGGAGAAAACGCAATTATTTTAACTACGGAAGCACCTTTTTTCCCCGTCTGAAGCGATAAATAAATCCCAACTGAGTTGCAGGTATGAATTGGTTTTTTCGATTTTCTTGAGAAAACAAAGACCTTAAGTAAACACTGAAGGTTTACATGAAAACAACAGAGAAAGGACGAGAGTGAAAATGTTTAACAAGCAATCTGTTCTTGTTCCTCAGTAAAAAAAAAAAAGGACATTTTGTAAAGTAGTGGTAATGTATCCTTCAAAACATCTTGTGTGTGTGTGTCCAATCTTAACAGAAAAGGCATCCAAAATAAAAAAAAACAACTGCATCTCTCAGTATGATACACATATACAGTTGAAGTCAGAATTATTAGCCCCCCTGTTTATATTTTCCCCCAATTTCTGTCTAACGGATTTTTTCAACATTTCTAAACATAATAGTTTTAATAACTCATTTCTTATAACTGATTTATTTTATCTTTGCCATGATGACAGTAAATAATATTTTACTAGATAATTTTCAAGACACTTCTATACAGCTTAAAGTGACATTTAAAGGCTTAATTAGGTTAACTAGGCAGGTTAGGGTAATTAGGCAAGTTATTGTATAACAATGGTTTGTTCTGTAGACTATCCAAAAATATATATAACTTCAAGAGTAAAATAATTTTGTCCTTTAAATGTTTCTTAAAAAATTAAAAACTGCTTTTATTCTAGCCAGAAATAAAACGAATAAGACTTTTTCCAGAAGAAAAAATATTATCAGACATACTGTGAAAATGTCCTTGCGCTGTTAAACATCATTTGGGAAATATTTTTAAAAAAGTAAACAGAAACTAAAGGGGGCTAATAATTCTGACTTCAACTGTAGCTAGTTTTCTTGCTTGTTAGTGTGCTAACCCTAACTAGGAAACAAAGAAAATCTTTCTGATATTCTTTTTTTAATGCAATAACACCACAGTAACACCATCACGTCATCCCTCAACCCTGCCGGACACCTTCCCTAATCTGATTCCCTTCACATCCAGTGAACCCGTCCAGAGCAGAAGCACCTTACATGGCTGCTCAGTCACCCCTTCACATGATTATCTCTCTCTCTCTCTCTCTCTCTCTCTCTCTCTCTCTCTCTCTCTGCACTGAGCTGATTAGGTGGGTGACTTACAGTGACGGAGGTGACTTCCCACTTCCTACTCTCTTTCTCTTTCTGTGTGTGTCTCTTTCTCTCTCCATCTCTCTCTCTGTCTGTCTATGTTTGAGGAAGGAGTGCTGGAGTTTCTCTGGCTGATTTGCTCTGAGTTCAGAGAAAGACTGAACGCAGAGACAAAACTCAGCGCCATTCCTGCAGCTACAAATCTACGACAGAAGAAGCATTTACAGGCTACAAACGCTGTGAAAAATGTTGGCTTCCACACAATTGATTGGTGTCTGGACAACTTGAAGGAATTAGGTTAACATTAGTTTGTCATGTGCTTTCCCGTCTATTGTCTAGCACCCTCCTTGTTATCCGATTATTCGTTTATTCAGTTTATCTGTTTGCTTGTGAATTATTTCTGCTTATAACTCCCTCTTGTCTGCTGTCCTGTGCCAGTTCTTCATCTTTATTTCCAGTGTCCAGTCCTGTCCAGTCCAGCACTATTCTTCCCGGCCAGCCCAGTCAAGTTTGTTTTAGTCATGTTTTTCCCCCTCTAGGTTGATTTAGTTCCCTTTTTGTTTTATTTTTATTATTAGTAAACCCATTTGAGTTCCTGCATTTGAGTCCTCGTCTTTTCCTGAAACCCACACAACTGTAGTTTTAAGTAGAGCTAACTCAAAAAAGCTGTGCAGCAAGTTGCCTTACAGTTTTAAGTTAAGCCTGTGTTTATTTTAAAGTGTAGTTAATGTATTTACTAACACGAACGAATGACCAATGCATTCATAACCATACTTATTCATCTTTGTTGATGTCAGGTAACGAAAATAAAGCCATTTATTGTTAGTTCATGTCAACTCATGGTTCATTAATGTTAACAAGCATGAATTTGGAATTATTTTATATATATTTTTAAGGGGTTTTCACCTTTTTTATTGACAGGACAGTGGAGATGTAGAGACAGGAAAGTGTGGGGAGCAGAGATAGGGGAAGGATCAGCAAAGGACCTCGATACGGGAATCGAACTCTGGTCGCTGCGAGCACCTCGGTGCTATGCGTCGACGCACTAACCACTAGGGTATTGGCGCCGACTGAATTTGGATTTTAATAATGCAATAGTTAATGTCGAACTATGATTGATAAATATTGTTCATTATTAGTTAAGGCTAGTAAATATATCAACTACCGAAACCTTATTGTAAAGGAGTGGCCAATTATCAATACTCCTATATTAACTACATGTAATTTATTTAAAATTGTTTTGTATTTAATAATGCTAAAAAAGTTTTGTATTTATTAAATAATGTTTACAAAGAACACAGTAAAATAAAGTGTTGCCCTAATATTTACATAAATGCACTTTCTGATAATCTGATAATCATTTTCTTCGAATCCCAGTAAAATAGATTGTTTTAAAAAATAATATCAGCTGATTTGAAATGTGAAACGATGGTTAAATGAATCCCAAATTTCAGTGGCTTTGGTTACAGCAGCAGAATCTGTTTTGACCACAGCTGTTCCAGATGTAATGGTACATCGGATAATTGTTATTGTTGTAAATATGTGCAGGACGGAGTGTGGTTGTCAGTCAGTGGTGTACAGACCGATTTCTCGGTAATTAACGCGGGTAAGAGCATATGATTTACGGTAATTGCCTTGACAAGGGGGCTGAGTGAAGCTACACTTAATTACCTGAACATGCTCTCTCCCATGAGCCCAGTCAAAACCACCTTTTACCGCTTTTTCCCTTTTTATTTTACAGTGCTGAAATTGGAGAGATGTGGAGGTGGTGAATTTGCTCCGCAACCCCCCAATCTGCCTGTCAGAGGGATGCTGGATTTGGGTTGAGGTAACTGGCAGTCGTATCAGAGTGTGTGTCTGCTGTTTTTATGTTTGTCTGTGGAAATTCACCCTCTTTTAAGACGGGAACTGCATGCAGATATGCAGTCCAAAATCGTCCTTTTTAAAGAAACGCCTGCATACACGGTGTGCTACGTGTTGCGAAAACCCCTTATTCGTTTAAGATTTCCTCGGCGTACAATCAGATTACCTCAATTGTGCATCCGCCAGTTTTTATAGCAGCAAAAAAAAAATCAATTCTGCCATTTTCTAAACTGCACAATGTCGCAATGAAGTCAGATGACCTCGTGGCCATTGTGCTCAAATCACATCTGATTGTCTCTTATAGTCGCCATCGACGATTCAATACGCTGTGTGCTTCCAAACAGCCATGCATCTTTCTAATCAATGGGTAGAAATTGAATTTAACACATTTCGGTGGCATTCAAGGTGATTTAACCCTTGTGTGTGCTTGCACTTTTAACAATAGAAGAATTAGTTTGGTTCCACAAAGAATTGTGTGATCAGTTCTTAAAATATCTATTCTACAGAACCTTTTGTCCACTATAAAAAAACCTTTGAGAAAGGCAAAGGTTTCATAGATGATAAAAGTTCATTACGGAACTAATAATGATGCATTGAAAAGCCTTTATTGTTAAGATTTTATAAAATTTGCAATATTTTTACTAAATTATTCCCATGCCATTTTTGCATTACAATGCATTCTTTATTGATGGGTTGTTGGCAAGGCTTCAAAATTAAAACATTTAAAAAAATTTTTTATTAACATTTAAAATGTACATTTGCACTATTTTGGTGCTATTTATTCCAATTTGGCCTTAAAATACTCCCCTTTCCACTCTTTTTGTTTCCATTTCTACTGTATGCATGGCCTAAATTTTTTTAATAAAACCTCCATATTTGTCAATGGCCAGTGACAAATTTACCAGCTATGTTTATTTCTAAATGGCCATGAAACTCTACTTGCTCTATTTCATAAAAAAAAATAAATAAAAATGTATTACTATTATAATTGAAATAAATAATTACAATTTTTTAATAATCATTAACATTATGAAATTTGCATCATCACAAATGTGGCACTGTTTAAAGCAATACTTAAAACCTTTTTTTTTTTTTTTAGATTTGCTTTAGATAATCGGTAGTGCAAAATTCAGATTTATTGTTATATTGACACTTGTGTTCTTACCATCTTATGCCAATAATGTTAAATTTTGTTTTTAATACCGTAAAGCACTTTGGGCAGCCTCCTGGTTGTAATAAGGTGCTATATAAATAAAGCTGATTGACTGACTGATTGATTAAAAAAAAAAAAAAAAAAAAAAAAAAAAACTTACAAAACTAATATTTAAATATTTATGTTTTTTTTGTAATTGTTTAAATCCTAAATAGAAGTTTAAAGGCCCGAGCACACCTGGACGCTTTTTGCTTGCGTTTTCCGTCGACATTTAACGCCTCGTGTGATCGTGCACACCAACACGCAAAGCGCTAGGTGCAAAAGCGTCATTAAAAAAAAAAAAACGCCTCATGCTCAAACGCCTCAAAACCTTCTTCACCAATCAGGTTGGCACTTTTGTTCACGTGCACAGAGCTGCTGAAGTTACAGTTAACAGCACTCAAGCGCAAAACTGTCAATGCGAGCGCACACTGAAGAAGATGCCCAAAGGCGGTATGAACATGGAGCTGCTTATTGCTCTGTGAACAATAATCATTTCTTCATCGCTTAAGCTAGAGCTGCTACTTTAACCATCCATGCCTGTTCGAGTCACCAGTAACTTTAACAAGCGTGTCAACGTTCCCTCTTCCTCTTCTTCTGCGTTATAAGCTGGATGTCAGAAGCTTAAAGTTGTGAAGCGCCATCTAACGTCAAGCGGTGATTTTGCATACGCTTCTGCTTGACGCCAGTGCAAATCGCTTGAGTTTGAATCCGGAAATCGTCTTGTAAGACGCTGACGATAAACGCAAACGAAAAGTGTCTCGGTGTGAACGAGCCTATAGAGCTTTTAATTTTGGTGCAAAACCATGAATAGAACAAACAAAACCAACAACAGAATTAAAAAAAATAAAAAAACTTTTATATTGTCATTTTAATTAAAATCAGAACTTTTAATTTCTTATTACAAATTTTTACAGCATGTTTCAAATAACCAATGAAATCTCACGCCAATTCGTAGCTTTTTTATTTAGTGGCTAATTCGTATGATTTAATTTGTACAATTTAGTACGATTTGCTCATCACCCAATGACGGTTGGGTTTAGGGGCAGAGTTGGGTGCCTTGCCTCCTTTTAAAAAATCTTACATTTTTTTGTACGACTGAACTCGACACTAAACTGATAAAAAATAAAATACTTAAGTTTTCTTGTGAGGTCAGGCTGCAAATACACATTTTATATGAACTGTCAAGTCACTAAAAAATTCCTTGCTCTTTTAAACATCATTTGGAAAATATTTAAAAGAGAGAAAAAAAATATGTGAATGGAAACGTAGTTATTGAAATTTTTACCAGCCATGTGTATTTCTTAATGGCCTTATTAGTCTATTTCACTAAAAAAGAGATTATACAAAATGGAAAACGCATGTAATAAAATTTGATTGTTATTATTAATATTTAAGTAAATAATGAAAAATTTTTTTTTTTATTATTATTAATATTATTAACAGTCAACTTACAAATCTAATATGGTTTTATGTAATTGTTTAAAACTTAAATATGCTTTTATTTTGGCACAAAACCATGATAAAAATTTTATAAATCTCATTACAAATTTTAGTGCATGTTTCAAATACACATTTTATATTTCAAGACTTCAAGACTTCAAGACTTCAAGTCACTAAAACTGTTACCATAAGTTGCTCTTTTGTCTGTATTTATTTCTATATTATTTAAATTACAGCAGTCTTCATCATTTAATAATCACGCTAAACCATTTTGAGTTTTCAGGCATTATTAGAATTTACATATTTTTTTAAATAATTTTTAATGATTTCTTCTACCATTTGGCTCGGATTTCATACTTTATCTAATTCTGTAATTAATAAAAATAAAGAATTAGCATGTAGTAAATAGGAAATGATTTAATGCCAGAAGTAAACAACTGAAGTTTTTAAATTTCTATATTATAATTATTATTTTTAATTAAAAAAACACTTTCATTCTAGCCAAAATAAAACAAAGACTTTCTCCAGAAGAAAAAAAATATAAGCGGAAATACTGTGAAAAATGCCTTGCTCTGTTTAACATCATTTGGGAAATATTTGAAAAAGAAAAAAATAATTCACAGTTAAAATTCTGAAAATGAACACATTTTTGGTTATGATTGATACTAATGTTAAAAAAATTGTAAAAATGCATGATTTGATGCATTGTTTCCTCAACATATCAAGCCACCTTCAGCATTCCCCTGCCAAAATAGAGGATTGTTGCTTTAAAACCTAAAGAGAAGCACAGCAATAGTGAGGAGGACAGCAGCTGCATATTGACTGAAGGTTTGAAAACCATGTTAAAAACAGCATCACGGCGATGAGCGTGACGTGTGTGTCTGTGTGGGGGAAGTGCTAGCGGGGAGTTTCCTGCGGTGGACAGTAAGGAGTGCTAGCGATCAGACCGTCAGTCATGGCCCCTCGCTGTGCCCACCTCTGATGTCGAATTTCACTCTGACTTCCTTCTCCACCCCCAACCCTGAGTCTGTTTTCTGAAGCACAAACAGGTCGCTGGGCAGTTTATGGCACTGCGGCGCTCAGGCGAGATGCTTTGTGTCCCTCTATCGTGTTTTTGTGTACACTCGCACACCTGTGCCCGGCGACGGACAAAGGTCCATAGCAACGGGAGGACGGCGGGCAACTGGATACCACACCTGTTTGATCTTTAAGACCTGTCCTTGATAAGTGGCCGTCGCATGGCAACCACGGCCAATGGGTTCAACACATTGTTTCAGTAGGTAGGGGATTGGACGGGTCAAGATTTATGCCGGACTACAATTCAAAAGGACAATGTTGGAAATGATCTCAATTAAATTTTGTTTTAATTACAGATAATAAGTGATAATTGGCTGATAATAAAAAATAAATATTAAAAATGTATGTATATACAGTTTAAATAGTAGTAGTACATTTTATATAGTAGCTAATTATTAGATTAGTGTGTAAATACACACACACACACACACACACACACACACACACATACATATATACATACAAGATTATACATGTACAGTATGATAATTGTTCAGCATCACAGTTAGCAGTAATTCTTTTTTAACAATAAATAGTAATGGTAAAGAGTAAATAATACTACTTGTGTATGTATATGTATGTGTGTATGTATGCATGTATGCGTGTATGCAATAGTGACTGATACTGATATTGTACACAATTTTCATAGATACAGTATATATACACAGTATGTGGGTGTGCATGTGTAAAAAAAGTTACTATTATTTGAACTTTTAATGTTCTAATATAATATTAAAATTCAAAAGGACAATGTTAGATTTGATCTCAATTAAAATTTGTTTTCATTTGAATTAGGGCTGTATGATAAATGGAAATCGAATTGCAATTTGAAACGTTGCGATTAGTTAAATTGCAAGAGGCTGCAATATAAAATTTATATCCATATATATATATATTTATATATATATATATATATATATATATATATATATAAAATTTCATTTTCCCTACCCAAAGCAAATCAGTGATGGCTGACTGTGTGTTATAGTCTTACCAGCCAACTGAGTAAGCGCACTTTCGTTCTGCCCAATCTGAATTGCGCAACTGAACTACGTCCACAAAAAAAAATAGCTGACAAAAGTGCTGACAAGTAGGATGATGGCGTCTTTGTTTCAGATGCATTAATAGACGAATTAAATAAAAAAAACAGCATTATTATAGGGTAATATATAATAGGGTAATATATATATATATAATATATAGCAGTAATATGAGAATATTTTGATTTCAAAGTCACAGACACAGAACAGGTAATTTCTCAGAGCTATTGCAGATTTGTTGCCATGGCTTACAGATTACTGAGCTGGAACTTGACTAAAAAAATTGTAATCGTAAATCAAATCACAATCCCAATATCTGTCAAAAAAATTAAAAATAATATATATATATATATATATATATATTTTTTATGTTTTCCTGAAAAGACACAGCCCTATTTTAAATACATTAAGGCTAATAAATGTAATAAGTGATAATTGGTTGATAAAAATTATGTATAAAGTTTAAATAGTAGTACAGTTAACACAGCAGATTAGTGCACACACACACACACACACACACACACACACATATATATATATATATATATATATATATATATATATATATATATGAAGATCTGATGATGCTTCAGCAGATTCCACTGTATTACACTAATATCGCTTCGAAATATCAACACTAACAAGAGAAGCTCGAAAGGTCCCTGTATAAATACAGTATAAAACTTAAATAATCATTTTGATTTTTTGTTACGTATCACAGTTAACAGTGTAATTCATTTTTAGAATAAATAATAGTGCTTTTGAATGAAAAAGATAGTGCTGATACTGATTTTGTACATAATTTTGTACATAATTTTTTATACTGTGTGTGTGTGTGCGTATGTGTGTGTGTGTGTATATATGTGTGTGTGTGTGTGTGTGTGTGTGTATATATATATATATATATATATATATATATATATATATATATATAAAAAACGTACACGTATATACGTAATGTACAGT